CCCCCCCCCAAAAAAAAAAAAATAAATAAATTACCCTCCAAAATTTGGCATTTTCCCAATAAACATTTATTGTGGTTTTCTAAAAATAAGGTGCCGCAAGAATTGGTGGTTTCTCGAGCAAAATCAACACCTTCTCCATCATCTCCATCATTTGATGCCAATTTTGGGTCTCCGGCATTTCTGACATCTCTGGCAACAGGGATGCCTAAACAAACCTCAAGCTGGCTATCCTCGGACCTGGTTGAATCCTTCTCGTCGCCACGGTTTTCACGCGAGTGCATAGTGTTGAAAGTTTATAGTTGAACATGTCCATGGTATCAGAGTGATAGTTGGTCCAAATACATGGGATGTTTGCAATCACATCGGAGGGAATACTCTGATTGATCAGCTGCATCCTTTCAAGGCCTCATAGAGATGCGGCCAAGGCGATCCAACTTGGAATCCGATCAATCTGCTTCCGATTCAACGTCCGCTTCCGATTTCTTTGGCATTGACAAGCTACTTGGAGGATCATCCAACGAATCGTAACTGGTTAACAACTGTTCGGAAGCCCCCTAACATCCCTAACTGGGGATACCCCACATATATATATATACATATAAAGATATATATAATATAATATATATATGGTTATATATATATTAGGGTTATATATATATATATTAGGGTTATAAACCACTTACTTTATGGAAAAATTGTTTCCCATGGTTTCCAATGGCTGGCCCACGGCTCCGCGCACCTCGGCAACTCTGGCAGAACCCCTTCAGCGGAATCCTTCCTGCGGCCGAAAAAAACCGTGGGACCCATAGAGAATGGCGTTTAAATTGATGTTTATCCCGTTTATCCCCCCAAACATGATATCATTTCTGAAATCATCTTCAATATGATAGAATATATGGCATAAGAATCATAAGAGATTTTGATCCATCCCCTGTCAAAATTGTCAGTGTGGATCATTGGGCTGCAGCACTCCATTGTCTGCGCCCAAGCTGCTGAAAGTTTCAGCAACATGTTCTGGGCTTTAATGTTCAACTGCAAACTTAGCAATTAAATTGAGATGTGTAAATTCTAGGGAAAAAGATTCAATATTTTCCTAGTTCCAATGGTAACAAATCCCCGGCACGGTTTTCGGCTGGGGAATCTGATTGCTTACAATTAAAGGTCGGCTCATCAATTCACCATGGATCGCCACTTCCTGAAGAAGCCCAGCTCACCCAGGGCACGCGCAAAGTGCATCTCCAGGATCCTGAACGGCCGCCATTTGGGGAATCCAAAACCAGTGGACCCATTTCTGTTCACAAAATCGCTGGGAGTATGCTGGATGTTCGTCTCACTGGTGGTGGTGGTGTATTTTTTCGATCCCTCCAAAATATGGGGGGATGAGTTAGCCCGCAAACATCCGCAAACCATTGCTGATAGAATAAATTCATAGAGAGATCGGCCAATGAGGTTGGGAATCTTAGAACGTCCTATGGGATGCTTAGATTGATGAAGTATCATCTACCATCATACAAAATGGGGGACAACTTTGGCCACTATAACTGTTCATCCGGAAAAATGCAAAATTATCTTAACCAAACCAGAAGAGCTTACCAAGTTCGGAGTTGATACACACATATATATATATATATATAATATATACACATATCATACGATGAATCGCCAAATAAATTGAAAAAATAAGAAAGCAGATCAGATGGGTTTATTACTGGATTAAGCACCTTCCGAGTCTGTTGTGCCCTTGGAGGTGTTGACCCAAAATGATGCGGCTTACCCATCTGTATGTATGTATAAACACATATGTCATGTGTATGTATGTATATATATATATACGTGTGTGTATGTGTGTGTGTCATGTATGCATATGTGCAGCAGTCAGTATGCATATGTATGGGATGTGTAAATACATACATGGATATATACACACGTGTTGAATCATAGACATGTGTATCTATGTATATATATATAATTTTATATACATATGTCAATGTATAATTACACACATACATATATAAACATCATGGACATACTACACATACATATACAGTTACATTGTATATTCAATTAGGCACCTCGTCTGCAGCTGCGGCAGCTTGGTCAAGCTTTCGCGATTGAAGGCATCCTGGGCCCCCCGGTGATAATCTACTGGCTTACTATAGATATTGACCAACAAAAATAGCGATATCTATAGTAACCCCACAAAAATAGTGTTATCTACTGGTTTCTATAGATATTGACCAACAAAAATGTGCATGGACTAGTTCAATCTGGTTCATGTGAACCACGGGAACTAGATGGATCTTTTGTGGATTCAGAATGGGGATGTCAACATGTTAACGGTCACTAGGCTCGTCAGCTCATCAACCAACACCGAATTGGAAGATAATTCATGTACAACAGTTGACCCAACAAATCTTGACTTACGCTTTAAAAAAAACCTTGACGCTTATATAAATTGTGGACGAGAAATAACATATATATATATACCTATGGGAATAAATGTAACTATGTTTACTAGCCATGCTAGTATAGATAACAGATAATATTACCATGTGAAGACATTTACAATAATGAGAAAAAATGAATAACCAACAAACACAGCGACACCGGGGCATACATGTGTATAGACAATGAAATATGTGGGATACTCCAGTAAGAGAGACTGCAGAATCAGAGTTCTGTCCCTGTCTTACACACTGAAGCTGTTCTATCAAAGAGAAGTTGCAAATACCCTCTGGTACTCAAACATGCCGATAAAAATCCTCATTTAGTTTGATGGATTTCCGCACCTTAGCCCATTAAAGCCTCCATTTAGTTCTTGGATTTCCCAGTTTCACTTGAGAACACAAAGATGCGTTTGCGACTCAAACGCCTCATTTCTGGACAAGTCCATCTAATATTTTTCGTTGTAATTATATCCTAATTATATCATATTATATTTTAGCTATCTAATTATCTCTCCATGTTTGGGTTGGCTAGCTACCCCCACTTAAGTCCGAAGTGAATTCTCCATTTTTCACAGGGTTATTGTGTTTTTTTGCCGGCCTCGCGCCTACGAAAACCGTGGCGAGACGCGCCCAGCACGATGGGCGAGCAAAGGACCTCATGGGTTCGGCGAATCTCTCTGCCTTGGCTCAGGCAATGTCCTGACTCTCATTAGGGATACAGTAGTGTACGGTAGTGTAAGGGGGCAGTATTAGGGGGATTCAATGCACAGTACTTGGGGATACTTGGGGTATACAGGTATGTCCTTTTAAAAGAAACTATATGGGGGCTGGTTTGCTGATGTTTGGTGCAATTCACACATTCCTCTTTTCCGTCAGTTGGTGAAAAAATAAAGTTGTTGCCACTCCAGTGCTCGGAGTTTGCCAAAAACAAACATGGTCACCTTGTGTCACGATTTGCCGACGCCAGTGTGATGTGAAGATATGCGTCCTATCTTATTGGGGCCAAACTGGCTGTCACCTTGGGGGGTACAGTCTTATATCTCCTTACGCTGGTATTTTCCGGGCCTGTGGAGCTTCCACAAAAATTCATAAAAATGCAACAAAGGGGGTTATACAGAGTCATGCGTTTCCAAAAGAAATTACCTGGAACTTCAAAAGCTGATATTTCCAGGAGCAGAATCAGATGAAAAGACGAAATCCTGGAGTCATGGTTCTATTGGTTGAGCCATCCCAATGCTAGTCAAATCATCAGATCATCTTCCCAAAAATTGGAAAACAGATGCGTCCAGCAACTGAAGGTTATCCCCACATCCCCCTTTTTTCCTCAGATTGTGAAAGTTCGGTCCAGTGGTCAATACTGAAAATGTGGATAGAGATTCTGGTGATCACTGAGTTGGTTTTTTGGTGGTATTTTGCCATGGAATTTCTACTCTCCAGTCACCACCCTTGGACCACCCAGGACCATCGCAGGATTGCTGGGTTGCTATTGCTGACTTTCTGCAGGATATGATGTTCCGTAGGGATCACATCGTCGTCCTCAGGCAATCTTTGGGGAGGTTTTTTGCAAAGTTTGGACGAATGATGTCCTCTATTTGTGAAAGATGGCTGGAAACATCCTTCTCTTGACTTTGGGACTCTTTCATCATCCCACCTGATGTTATCGGGGCTGTGGAATTGCATTCTTCAAATTGAAAACCAATTGGAAAAAATCTACCCCCTGGTACTTTCATGAATTTCACGCCGTGTGTTATGGACAGTTGAAACTGACAAATCAAACAAATGATGTGTTTCCATGACATACTGTGCCAGATTACCAAAGGTTTTTATCTGGTTTCCTCCAACCTGGCTGGATAAAATATGGTAAACTCTTTGATGTCCTCCGGAGTCTTCACACATGGCTGGGAAATTTTCTATAAATAATCTACAAGTCATCTAATTTTCTAGCAAACCATGTTTGATGACCCGGGGCTACTCTGCACAAGAAAAACTCATGTTCAAACCAGTCCATTTTCAGCCGAATTTTCACCAAGATTGACCAAATCAGTGGCTTTGTCGAAAACTGGGTGCTCAATTTTCGTTTCATGTTTTGTCAATCATTCTCCACTGTTGTTTTCTATCTACAGGATATCCAGTATATCATAGTATATCCGCATTGTTGTTGTTTTTACATATTGTTGCCTAAAATCCATAATCCATCCATGATGCAGGTTAAATCCCCATCAAATTTATGTTGATGAGGGAAACAATCACTATAACCCCCTATGTTGTTTAAATTCCTCAAGTGTTTTCCCGAAAACCAAAAGAAAAAATGATTGCTGAAATCCATTGGTTTTCCCAGAAAATTGTGATGGTTAAATGTCCGTGTTTTGTGTCCCCCCATACCATCTTTTCTAATTTCTTGTAGCGAACTGGAAAATCACCATTTTCGCATCATAATGGTCATCTATTCCATGGCAATTTGTAAAAAAAACAGAGGGTCACCTATGATTTCCCTATGATGTCCCCACTATTGTCCCACTATTTCCATCTATTTCTTTATTATGTACCTATTACCCTATTTTCCAATGATACGGAAACCCACGGCATCGTCCAATCCCAACCATTGGACCATCGTCCCCGTCCTCCTCCGCTTCGGTGTCCTCGCTCACGCCTCGCATCCAAGACATGGCCAAGCCGTCCGCCTGCGGTAAAAGGCGCCGCGAACAAAGGCGACAACTGGAGGAGCAAGCGGGTGGATTCCATAGGATTTATAAGGAATTTTCAGCTACATACATATATATATACATATATATATACATATATATATATATATATATATACTTATATATACATATATATATATAAATGCATTTATGTTTTTAACGTGTATCTATCTATCTATCGATCGATCGATCTATCTAGCTATCTATTTAGCTATCTATCCAGTGCAGGGGCAAAGGGGGCCGAAGCGTGGGTTTCCGACGTTGCGCTGTGACGCTCCCGGGGGCGGGTGGCGCTGCGACGCTGCGACGCTGCGACGCTCCGGGGGGCGGGTGGCGCTGCAACGCTGCGACGCTGCGACGCTGCCGTTGGGCCAGTGACGCTGCGACGCTGTTGGCGCTGCGACGCTGCGACGCTGGAGTGACGCTGCGACGCTGTTGGCGCTGCGACGCTGCGACGCTGCGACGCGGGAGCGACGCTGCGACGCTGCGTCGCGGGAGCGACGCTGCGACGCTGTTGGCGCTGTGACGCTGCGACGCTGCGACGCGGGAGCGACGCTGCGACGCTGTTGGCGCTGCGACGCTGCGACGCTGCGACGCGGGAGCGACGCTGCGACGCTGTTGGCGCTGCGACGCTGCGACGCGGCGACGCGGGAGCGACGCTGCGACGCTGTTGGCGCTGCGACGCTTCCTTCTGCAAGAGTGCACACGGCGTTGCGTCGCGGCGCGACACGGAAACCCCCATTGAAGATCGTCAATGAATGTAGAAATTTATATATAACGGGGCTGAAAGAATTAAATCCTTATTGAAGATCGTCCATGAATGTAGAAGTTTAACGGGGCTGGGAGAATTAAACCCTCATTGAAGATCGTCAGTGAATGTAGAAGTTTAACGGGGCTGGGAGAATTAAACCCTCATTGAAGGTCTTCGATGAATGTAGAAGTTTAACGGGGCTGGGAGAATTAAACCCTCTTTGAAGATCGTCAATGAATGTAGAAGTTTAACGGGGCTGGGAGAATTAAACCCTCATTGAAGATCTGAATCTTCAATGAATGTAGAAGTTTAACGGGGCTGGGAAGAATTAAACCCTCATTGAAGATCGGCCATGAATGTAGAAGTTTAACGGGGCTGGGAGAATTAAACCCTCATTTAAGATCGTCCATGAATGTAGAAGTTTAACGGGGCTGGGGAGAATTAAACCCTTATTGAAGATCGTCCATGAATGTAGAAGTTTAACGGGGGTGGGGAGAATTAAACCCTCATTGAAGATCGTCCATGAATGTAGAAGTTTAACGGGGCTGGGGAGAATTAAACCCTCTTTGAAGATCGTCAATGAATGTAATAGAAGTTTAAACGGGATTTAACGGGGCTGGGAGAATTAAACCCTCGTTGAAGATCGTCAGTGAATGTAGAAGTTTAACGGGGGTGGGGAGAATTAAACCCTCATTGAAGATCGTCAATGAATGTAGAAGTCTAACGGGGCTGGGGAGAATTAAAACCTCATTGAAGATCGTCCATGAATGTAGAAGTTTAACGGGGGTGGGGAGAATTAAACCCTCATTGAAGATCGTCAATGAATGTAGAAGTTTAACGGGGCTGGGAGAATTAAACCCTCATTGAAGATCTTCAATGAATGTAGAAGTTTAACGGGACTGGGAGGAATTAAACCCTTATTGAAGATCTTCAATGAATGTAGAAGTTTAACGGGGCTGGGAGAATTAAACCCTTTTGAAGATCTTCGATGAATGTAGAAGTTTAACGGGGCTGGGAGAATTAAACCCTCGTTGAAGATCGTCAGTGAATGTAGAAGTTAAACGGGGCTGGGAGAATTAAACCCTCATTGAAGATCTTCAATGAATGTAGAAGTTTAACGGGGCTGGGAGGAATTAAACCCTTATTTAAGATCGTCAAAGAAAGTAGAAGTTTAACGGGGCTGGGAGAATTAAACCCTCATTGAAGATCTTCGATGAATGTAGAAGTTTAACGGGGCTGGGAGAATTAAACCCTCATTGAAGATCGTCAATGCATGTAGAAGTTAAACGGGGCTGGGGAGAATTAAACCCTCATTGAAGATCGTCCATGAATGTAGAAGTTTAACGGGGCTGGGGAGAATTAAACCCTCATTGAAGATCGTCCATGAATGTAGAAGTTTAACGGGGCTCGGGAGAATTAAACCCTCATTTCAGATCGGCCATGAATGTAGAAGTTTAACGGGGCTGGAAGAATTAAACCCTCATTGAAGATCGTCAATGAATGTAGAAGTTTAACGGGGCTGGGAGAATTAAACCCTCATTGAAGATCTTCGATGAATGTAGAAGTTTAACGGGGCTGGGAGAATTAAACCCTCATTGAAGATCGTCCATGAATGTAGAAGTTAAACGGGGCTGGGGAGAATTAAACCCTCATTGAAGATCGTCCATGAATGTAGAAGTTTACCGGGGCTGGGGAGAATTAAACCCTCATTGAAGATCGTCCATGAATGTAGAAGTTTAACGGGGCTGGGGAGAATTAAACCCTCATTGAAGATCGTCCATGAATGTAGAAGTTTAACGGGGCTGGGGAGAATTAAACCCTTATTTAAGATCGTCAAAGAAAGTAGAAGTTTAACGGGGCTGGGGAGAATTAAAACCTCATTGAAGATCGTCCATGAATGTAGAAGTTTAACGGGGCTGAAAGAATTAAATCCTTATTGAAGATCGTCCATGAATGTAGAAGTTTAACGGGGCTGGGAGAATTAAACCCTCATTGAAGATCTTCAATGAATGTAGAAGTTTAACGGGGCTGGGAGAATTAAACCCTCATTGAAGATCTTCGATGAATGTAGAAGTTTGAAGGGGCTGGGAGAATTAAACCCTCATTGAAGATCGTCAATGAATGTAGAAGTTTAACTGGGCTGGGAGAATTAAACCCTCATTGAAGATCTTCGATGAATGTAGAAGTTTGAAGGGGCTGGGAGAATTAAACCCTCATTGAAGATCTTCAATGAATGTAGAAGTTTAACGGGCCGAGGTAGTGTTCAGAGGGGGTCGCTGGCTTGATCTTCGAAGATGCAACATATATTCAAAGGGGGTGGCGGGGCTGATGTCTCAAGGTGCAACGTATTGTTCAGAGGGGGTTGGGGAGTTGATGTCTTGTGATGGTGAAGATGCAACATAGTGTTCAGAGGGGGTTCCAGGGCTACTGTCTCAGCTTGTCCGGTGGCTTCTCTAGGCTTGTCCGGTCGGGATTTCTAGGCTTCTCGGCTTCGCGGCTTCTCGGGCTTCTCGGCTTCTCGGCTTGCCCGGCGGCTCCTCGGCTTCGCGGCTTCTCGGCTTCTCGGCTTGTCCGGTGGCTTCTCGGCTTCTCGGCTTCTTGGCTTCTCGGCTTGTGCCGGGCTTCTCGGCTTCTCGGCTTCTCGGCTGTCTCGGCTTCTCGGCTTGTGTCGTACTTCGCGGCTTCTCGGCTTCTCGGCTTCTCGGCTTGTGTCGGGCTTCTCGGCTTCTCGGCTTCTCGGCTTCTCGGCTTCTGGTCGCATTTCTGGGCCCCTTTTGCCCGTGCTTTGTATCTATCTATCTATCTATCTATCTATGTATCTATCTATGTATCTATCTATGTATCTATCTATTTATCTATCTTTATATATATATATGACTCCGGATATGCATATAGATTCTCTGGCCGCGGACAGAGGGGTGCAAGGCGAAAAGGATAGCCAGGGGGAGGAAGGAAAACACTGCCATGTCCAAACAAAACCAAAAGGCTCACCACGCGATATCTCTATATATATAATGTAAATATATATATATATATATAATGTAAATATATATATGTATATATATACACAGTACTCAAGATATACATTATTACACACATACAATTATGTTTATTCAAACACACACACATTATATACTTGTAAATATGCATACGTGTACATCAGTGTCTATGAAAATTAGATATGGGTGTTGATCTTAATTCTTTCGTCCATAACGGCAATTCTTAGCCAAAAACAAAATACTTTATCATCACGACTCCCTTAGACCCCCGGGAGGGCGAAAAATGTACTGTACATTTTTGGTAGTGGAATTACCTGCATTTTAGAAAAACGCAAAAGTTGGGCTATAACCATCATAACCATAACCCCCCCTCCCTAGGAAATCATAAGTAAGAGGGCTAAAATGTACTGGAACATTTTTGCCTTATACCTAGGCTAAGAACAACTTAAAGGCACCAAAAATGTACCGAACACTTTTGGGGTCTAAATAATTCAATTCCCCCCCGCACTAACCCACCCCCGGGGCTGTAAAATGTTCCAATGATCTGGCGCGTTAGGCGCAAAGAAATTTTACAATTTTTAGCATCCCTCCCCCCTATGTTTAAGCCTACTGAAAAGGTTGTTAGGGGGGGGTATCCCAAAAATGTTCAAACTCCATTCGCGTCAGGCACATGGGGATATTACATGTTTTGATTCCCCCCTAGTTTTATATGTGTAGTGGATTTTAGAGGTATATGTTGGAATTAGGTTATTGTACTTTACATTTTTGGCCCCCCGGGGGGGGTCTAGGGCGCCAAGGGGGTAGTGATACTTTATCCAAATTCTCCCAAAACTCCTTTTTACCCCACAGTAAGCCTTTTAAGCCACTTTCAGAGAAGTACCAATCTCCATGGAAAGTGCATCATGTGTATATCATGATATATCTATCTTTTTTAGACCGTTTTGGTGTGCTACGATGTCCCCGTAAGTGAGTTGAAAGTCATCTACTCCGCAGCGGCATGTTCAATGGTGATTTCCTTCCAGTAAAGTATGGGGCACTGAGTTCCTGAGATACTCTGAACTGCTTGAGATTTTTGCACAAGCTGTGTGAAAAATGAGCGTCAAAATCAGTGAAAACGGTTCCAACCCTGTAGCTTGCAGCTGACATGCAATCTGCCATCATTTAGCCAGAATGGTTGGAAAAATGGAGGTTCTATTGTGTAATCAGCCAACTGGCCGGTGCAGCTTCAG